ATCTTGTTTCTCCTACAATCCAGGTCTAACCCCTTCCACACCATCCAGTGACGATTCATCACAATCACTCAGTTTTTGTGGGTATGTTGGCTTGCGGACTTTGCCCCCTCAGGGTCACCACAAGGCTGACATATTGGTGGTTACTTATCTCATTATGCCTTTTGGTTCAGATTCATCAAGATATGTCTGACAAGTCCTCAAACCGCCCAATCCCGGCAGGCCAGAGAGGACACATTCCCTCCCTCCCGCCCAATCTCGAGGGCCCCCCACCTCACCATCCCTCTAGGCAAAGAGACCCCTCTTGAGCTCAAGCACATGATGGGCGGCAAGACACCCCTGTGTTCCAAGCTCACCCTGGTGCAATGTCTGGAAACCACTCCTGGCAGCCGATGTTGGCCCATTCCAGCCATCATCCAATGACCTACTCTGGCCCCCCACAATATATGAGTTACTCTGCGCCGATGAGCTACGTGGCACCAACATCCTACCAACACTCGGGCCCGGTATACACTGGCCAACCTCATTACCCCTACTCTGCGGCTCCACAATCACACTTCCCCCCCATGGGCCAACCTGGCCCCCCATACTATCACCATCCGTCAATGCCGATCTACGCCCCCCTCCCTTCTCAACAGATGTTCTTTCCTGGTCACTCGGAGCCGACCCATTGGCCAATCCAGACAAATGGCCCCCATCCACCAGTAAATTATGGGTCCCGCCCCAGTCCAGCCGCCACATCTGATCAGCGCAGAACCACATCTGCCGCTCGCCAGCCATTGACTAGGGGGGTAAACTCCAATGGACCTGTCCAGACCTGCGAGCGCCCAGATGGTCGACTAAAAATGGACTTACCCGATCCCGTGCCCAAGGAACTCAAAATCGACACACACAATCCTGTGTCCAAAGAGGTGCCTCAGTTCCATGAGCCAAGGGAAAGCGGGGAACTTTTGGGTTGGGACTTGGGTATCGAAGACAGCACCGATTTCCACGGGCTGAAGTCGTCATTCCTACCGCACGGTCCAGCCGAAATTGAGCCCTTGCCTTTGGAAGGCACTGCTTTGTGGCTGTTGCCCCCCTCTGGGAGTACCCCGGTTGAGAGCACTTTGCCGGTTAAGCCGGATTTGGCTGTTGATCAACAGATTTCCATGCAGCTAGATCTTGAGATGGGGGATGGTTTGGTAGATGTGGAAGGTGGGTGTTTATTTGATGAACTTCTGTGCTCGTATCATGTGCAACATGGTTTTGACTAATCTTGTGTGGCCTGTTTTCAATAGGGGCCGGCCCTGTAAGAGATGAGGGTCCAGAGCCCCCACCATCAGGGATGGAACTCATTAATACCAAAGTATCAAGCGCCGAAGGGGCCCCTGCTCAAGGGGTCACCGCTGAAGCTGAGGGGGTCCCTGCTGAAGGGGTTCCGCCCAGTGGTCGTGTCATGAATTCACTTGATGTGGACAATTTTGACTTTAGTGTGGGAAGTAAGTGGGAGAGGTTACTTAACTAATAATCTGTCAATGGTGTGATGTTGACCTCTGTGCCTTGAAGATCCGATGGATCCCCCCCCCTCTATACAGATTCCATGAGTACAAGGACCTGAAGAGGTTTGCTGAGATGTGGGCACGGGCACATGAGTATAAACTCGTAACAGGCAGCTCAAAGACAGGGAAGAATGGGTACTTGAAATGCTTGTTGGCGGGAGAGGATAGAAACAAGCCCGATACGAATCGACAGCGGTTGTCTCGGAACAAATGTATCAGATGTAGATTCAGGATCTCTGTGCACAAACCGACGAGCAAAGACCGCGCAAATGAACCTTTGGAAATTCGAATCGCGGAAGACTTGTCTCATAATCACTGCCCAATGGAGACTCAATATGAGGTTCTCAATCAACGGGTTGATCCGGTGCTTGAGACAGAGGTGTTACA